TTACTCAAACTCAAAACTTCAAGAAAAAATAATATTTTCTTTAACTACCGAAACTCGATGCATTCCCTTAACAAAAAGTTTTGTTAAGACAAAACTTCAAAAGATATACTTATATTACTAGATTCAATGATTATTATCCTAAATCATCTTATTAGCTATATTCATTTCCCCTCCAATTTTAGGCTTTCGTCTTGATTAATCTAGATCGATTCAGATCGCACATTTAGTTTTAGTGTGAGTTTCTTAGTGAGATTTTTTTAGATACACAAATACTCAAACTTAAGACCTTAAGCGATATCAAATTGCTTACACTTTAACAATTGATGTTTCATATTATTCTGTTAATAGTTATTACATGACGTCCAAAATTATTAGGACAAAGGGCATAAAAAAAAGAGAGAAAGAAAAGATTTCACCGTCACAGGTGATTTTCTTCCCTTTTTTTTCGTTACTATAATTTAAATTTAAAGAGATGAAACAGAAACCAATTTCCACAATTACTATTATTAAGGATACAATCTTAAAATTATACGTGAACTTTGGCTTATTGCGTGATATAATATACATGAACTGTAATTTTAGGTAAGGTAATTTTTTTAAATTTTAGTTCAGTTTTCACAACCACTAATCTCTTTATCTGCGTGACACCATTTTATGTATACTTATTGCTTACACAGAAATTATATTTACCATACATGAAAAATACAGATTAATTTATTTTTATAAATTTGAATAATTGAGTTAAAAATTAAAATTCAGTGTATATACAATTGCAATAAAACCAAAATTTCATACGTAAAAATTGCACATTGAATTAAAATTCATATACCAAACAATACCTTGCAGGTTGCAGTAAACTGTAACACATGGAGTTGAAGCCGGAGTTACAGCAGCTGAACCTGATCAGCTTTTTACTGGACGGAAAATAAAAACGGGGCCGAAGATCGAAAACATGGAGTATATAGGAGAGTATGGGCTTTAAATTTTGAAAGATAATTTCCATACAAACAAATAAAGCAGCAAATGTGTTTTAAAGAGGGCTTGGTTCGGTACATAAGGTGGAGGGGCAAGATCACACATACTGATTCATTGATTCATACATATTAATTTAAAGACCAAAGCCACATGGAATAAAAGCCCTCCTATTACATAAATATTAGCACACTAACCCATAGCATACTTCTGGGTCCAGCTCCGAGCAGTCGTCTCGTACTTGCTCCTGTCGGTCTTGTACATGTGAGCGATCTCTGGCACCAAGGGATCGTCAGGATTTGGATCCGTCAAGAGCGAGCAGATTGAGAGCAATACCTAGAATCAAATTACATATAAGAAACAGCCCCATGCTTAAATGTCAGTAAACCATAGCAATCAAAATTTACATGATAGAATATATATACATACACACACACACACACACACACATATATATATATATATATTAAACCAGGGTGACCATACACAAAATAGTAAGGGCCCATTATGCAAAGCAAACTACTTGGCCAGTTGATTAAGTGCTACATTTTAAAGGCTTAATATGATCTTTCGTTTTAAAAACCAAATCATTTTTTAATGGTTTTATGACAAACTGTTGATAGATGACATAACAGTGAAATCTATCATTCAAAATAAAAGATGTATATACTGCAAGGCATGTTGAACAATAACCTTGGATATGGTGAGGGCAGGGCTCCATTGCTCCTTCAAAATATCGAGGCAAATGCTACCATTGCTGTTAATATTAGGGTGAAAGACCTTTGTCCTGAATGCAACCTGAATCGAAGGAAAACGAATTTAAGATAAAAATACAAGAGAAAAAAAGGATAACAGAAGAAAACTAAACAAGAAACATGCTGGTAAGTGGTAATGAATCAGCTACTAAACGGGTAAGTTATAAGGCCATTGCAGTGGAGAAAATAAAGCGTGAATCAACCTCAACATGTGATTTATCATGTAATTACTAGAATTAGCAGAACTAGGTGAGGATTGATAAGCCATCGTTGATTGGTTACAATCATATTTATCTCTAAAAGAAATTTTGATGTTATTCTATCTTAAAAGATATGAACATCATCACATGAAAAGCAAAATATATTCGCAAGGTGTCCATTTACAATAATTTTTATTAAACCAAAAAGTATACAGTAAATGTGGGAACCACATAATGAAGTAACCGTATGCAGGTAACAGAGAATGCTTACCTGAGGCTGTTTACAAAAGTAAAAATAACAAAAGATTAAGTAAATTTTGGCACTGAAAACCACCTAATAATAGCCTTTCACATACAAACTAAACCATTAGAAACCCAACATGCATATGCATGCACCACTGTTCATGCATACATGCCAACAAAATAAACTACCAAAAGCTAGAAAAAAATTAGCATTTACAGAATAAACTATCAAGTAGAATTAGTATTTACTCATTTCAGTGCCAAGCAATGTTTGCACAAGCCACTACCCTGTAAAGACATCATGGTCACAGAGTATATACAGTGAGGAACTTGCTAAATAACATGAAGCCTTTAAACATTTATGCTAAAATCTAATTACATATCCCTCCAAATGTCAAAATGTAGATGGGGGCAAGTAGGAACATTGACCGCAATAAAACTAAGTATTGGATTTCAGAGGAGAAAACATTTGTGCCAGCAGCACTTCAATAGATGGTTCTTAAAAGAACAGCTTGTTGAAAAAATTTAACATGCAATATATTAAGCGCTATGCAGATTGTAAATGGCATATTTGATGTTTCTAAAAGGAAAAAGACAGTTACAGATAGATACATAGTCAATAAAAGAACACATTCACAACAGTGTACCGGAAATAACAAAAACTGATAGGTTAAGGAATAAGATTAAGTGCCTTTGGTGGTTTAAAAGGATAGTCCGGAGGGAAATGAATGGTGACTAGAAACACTCCACCGGCATATGGACTGTCAGGAGGACCCATAATAGTCGCTTGCCAATGAAACATGTCTTCAGCAACAGGGCCTTATTTCAATAATAAAATGAAGTGAAACGTTAATTAGATAGAGCAACCAAATCTGCAAGTAATATTTAATTGAAATGATGATGCAAAAATGAACTCTTAAAAGAATCTTCAGCAAAACATGATAATTTCCTCACGAACTCACCAATAACAACTTGACAAACATGGATATGAACAGAAAACAATAAGACAGGAAAAAAAAGAGAAAAAATTCTTTAAAATCTACAGTCGAATAGAGTCCAATGATGTGAACCTAAAACTTTAGAATATGTATATGTAATTATGTATATATATTGCAGTTTGACTCAATGAAATCATCATGGTCAAAATCATATTCTAACAATAACTTAATAAGTATAGATTCATCTGATGGTTCGAGGTAAGTAGAAGAGAAATGGAGAAGTAGGTAATAGGAATAGAGAGAATTTTGAGAGGGAAAAACTTGTTCATTCATAACATACTGGAAAATATTTACACAGCCAATTTATTTAGTTACAATGATAACCGTTCCCCCAATTCTTCCTCGTGTTCTCGCCTTTCTCCTCCGACCATGACATCATCATATACAGAAACAATTATCTCATGTCATGATTACAAAGAAAAGAGGAAATCAAAGGCATGATAGCAAGAAATAATGAAATCGAAGATATAGAGACAGAAAATAGGAAGAAATTGAACCTGCGCTGCAAGAGGTAGGAGGATCTTTCTGTAGATCCTTGAGCTCCTTCAAGATCCGCTTTGAAGCCATCACCTAAACCCTAAAACGAAAAAAGGAAAATCAAATCAAATCAAAGTCAGACCGCCTTCCTCAACCAAGCTAACACGAAAAGCAAATAAAAATTAAAAGAGAAAAAAGTTAGAAAATTACAGTGCTATTTGGAGAAATTTGAGAGAAAAGGTAGCTGAGAGATCCTCCTGTCCTGGGCTAATGTTTTTGTTTGGTAGTTCTGAAAAAAAGTAAATAGAGAGAAAATATACATTTAAAAACAATAGGCTTTTAGAAGGAGAGGACGAGTGGTTGAATAATATTTTCTTTAGAAATAAGTTAATAAAAGGGCTCGTTATTGGTTATATTTGTGGACCCATAAGATAATTTTTTTTCTTGTAATAAAAATCTAGGGTAAAGTACACAAACGATCCATGACTATAGGATAATGTTTTATTGAGTACATTGACTATTAAAAGTTATAAAATGATCATTTGATTATAGAAAGTTATTTTGTTGAGTGTCTCGACTATTGAAAGTTACAAAATAGTCACTTGACTATTTATTATATTCCAAATTCATCCTTTTTGATTAAAAATTAATGATCATTTGAGTTGAACGTTAACATGTTGACTGAAATAGGATAGTCATTTGAGATGATGATATCAAATTTTATCATATCTTAGTTAGCATGTTAACGTACAGCTCAGACTGACGTCAAATTTTCAATAGAAAAAGACAAGTTTTGAACATAATGAATAGTCAGGTGGCTATTTTGTAACTTTTATAACTTTTAATAGTTAAGAGACTCAATAAAAATAGTATCCTATTATCGGGGACCATTTTATGTACTTTACCCCAAAATCTATTACATTTTCTGTCAAAGTATGTCGTAAGTCCCTATGGTTTGAGTAACTCAATATTTAGTATATTGAACATAATTAATCACCATTTTGATGTCTCGCTTTTACATAATTTAGACTGATATAACAATAAGTTTAACCCTTAATGATTATATATTATATCAAATTAATTCTAACTCTAAAAAATATACGTAGTTTACACATCCTATAAAGTACAAACATTAAAGACTAAATTTATTAATATTTTAAACAAATTGACATAATCCGTAAATGTTAAAGATTAAATAATTGATGAAAAACATTAACATTATGATTTGTAGTTCATTTTCGAAATTGAAAGAGATTAATTAAGAAAATAAAGCTCTAAAGCTAAAGTGAGAGACTGATTTCTATTGCCTCATCAATGGCTCTACAATATACAAGGCAAAGAATTCCACTGCAGAAATCTACAACTGTCCCTTGACATTACCATCGTAACATTTCCCCCCTTTTCGGCCACATAACAAAGCCTACATCGAGATATATACATTTAACGAACCGGTACACCGGTTTAACATCGTAGAGGTCGATAAATAGTAATCATTGTTGAATGCAAACTTCTACATAGGGAAAAAAAAGATACTTGATTAGTCGAGACTATTTCGTCCTCTCTTCCAGTCTAAGGACACTAGTTTTTGTACATTATGTTGACTATTGCAAGGTTTATCCAAAGCCGTTGCTGGAAGATTCGTGCATGGCGACTTTACTACATTGACAGTGGAATGTCTTGTTTCACTTACAGATTTTCCGGGCGATGTTCTACTTGATTTAGGAGTAGACCAAGCTAATGGTCCTTTTCTAACGCCATTTAAGTGATTGAGATCCTTCTTATGCTCAACTTCAGAGAGCTTGGGCTTTTTCGAGAGAATTATCTGTTCTGCGTCACATCTCACCAGCTTGTTAGATCCCAGCAATGAAGTTGTCACAGATATTTCATCCGATTTCTCAATTGATTTTGTTTTGCGAGCTTTCATGGTCTTTTGTGAAGGTTTCTTTGGCCAACTTATAATCCCATCTGGGTTTTGCCTCAAGGGTTTAGTCGCGATGTCACACAATGTTTGAGCTGCAGCCAATATTCTTGGACAGTGCCCAACTATCACCAAAAAGAAAACAATAAAGAAATGGACAGAGATTCAAAATGGCAATAAATTTGTCTATGTATAAATATCAGAACGATAACAAAAAATCTCATGCTACAAACCTATATTTCGACCTAAAATTTTTGGTAAATTCTTACCTGGAGGAACATTAAAAGCCTTGGAATAAGTTGCAAGAGGTGATGTGCCTTGTTCACATAAACAGAGAGTACCAGATGGTGATGCTATTTCACCTTCGGAGTTACCAAACTTTGGAAAGGAGGGAATTAGGCTTGGATCATAGGCAAGTGATTCTAAATTGGTAAAAGAACTGGTTGCAGTCCCAGGTGAACCAGAAGTGTGTGGTATTTTTACCCATTGCCCTTGGCACATGCTCTTATTTGATAAAAGTTTAACCGCATCAGGATTGGTTCTACAACCATTAACAGTATGCTCTTATTTGCTTGCCTGAACGTGTATCAGAATTGTTCCTTGTGGATGATGAAGGCTTGGTTGCATTGAGAAGTAAAGAGTCCAGATCTTTCGGTGGGGGTAATGCCAAGTGCTCCAGAATATCTTTGGACTGAGACAATGAAAAATCTGGAGGACTGGCAGGCATTTCAGGCTTGCCAGATGAATCCTGGGATTGGAACAAGATTAAAGTGCAAAGTTAATAACTTTTCAGCATCTATAAAGACAAAAACTTCCCAGATGGACCTATGACTTCAAGGCACGTTAACAAAGTAAATGAATTTCTGAGCATTGTAGTCAAATGACCTTGCCACCATGCAAAGTTGCAGAAAGAAAAGGGATAAATAGAGACGAAGATGAAAATTACCAAAGCCTCCTATCAATAGGCAAAAATTGTTTTAATAAGGATCAACAGGTACCAATTTTTTTACTTCATTTATGGTTGATTTCAGGATCAAATATATTAGACGTTTACTCAAAAACTCACCTTATTGAGTGATGATGGGTCTACAGCACGTGTCTTCTTTATCACCATTAATACTACTTGCCGAAATAGAAACAGAGTTCAATGGACACAAGGGCACTTTCTTGTTGGAAGAACTGTCCATATCTGCAACATTGTGGGACTGGACCCTTCGATGTGGAAGAAAGGAGAACACCTTTTTAACAGAATGTAGAAAATTTTCAGTTGTGTTAGTTGCTTTCCTACCCTTCTTGATGCCTAAAATGGGATGCTCATATATGCCATCAAGGAGTTCATTTAATGATAAATCCTCTACAAGCTCAGTGACATCATTTATGTCATCAGACTTCAGTCCATATAATCCTGAAATTGATGCCCAAAGGTGAATGATGCAAAATAACAGAAACATACAGCCAGTAGCTAATTTTAAACTAAATGCATAGATGATATCACACAGCCAATCACCAACAAATTGGTTAGGCTCATATCGAACGCAGCATAATAAAACAGGTCCATGTTAACAAAAACAAGTTTTGGTAACAATGACATACCAACGATGTTGTTCCCTCCAGAGGCCATAGTAAAGCTTGCAAAACCAGCCTTCTTGGAGAAAGAATCAAATTTCGGCTTCATAGGAACTATGAAATTTTTCTTGACCTCTCTTGCCACTAATGCTGTTCTTCTGTCTCGACTTTTGTGGTTTATCTGGAATGTATTTTAGAAAAAGAGAAAGCAAACAATCAGAATAATCTCAAACATTCTACAAGACGTCCAACTACAAAAACAGAGCCACGTGCTCGGAACAAAAATGCAAAGAAACAAGGCCATAAAAAGAATGACACGAGCTCTGGCAACTTGTCCATTAAGAGTCATTAGAGGGACAAAAACCTTATTGATGATCAGCCAATTAACTAGGCTGACTTAAATCTACACTAAATTTATGTACTATTCACAAACAAGGGAAGAAAAGGGACAACCTGGTAAGTTATATTTTGTAGAACGACACCCTAGCTTCTCATTCATATCCTTTATGTCATCAATTCCAGTTGAAATCATAGTGTCTTCTAGCTGACCAACACGTGCTCTCTTAGAACATCCACTATTACTACTAAGCATTCTGCCAGCTTTTCTTGGTGCGTTAACAACATCAGAACATGGATTTGGCGAGTGGAAACTGCTGTCCTTGTGATCATGCAGTTCAGACAATTTTTACATATGACATCCGGGCAGCTGACTAATGCCTTCAAAGTTCAGCATAAGGAATCTTACTCCATGAAGCCAACTTTAAGTTAATAAAATGCCAGTCCCTTCTAAAAAAATCAGATCTTATTAGAATATGCAAAAAGATGAATTTCATAACAAAACATTACACACTAATGACCGGCAAATAGTAAATAGAGAAGTTGGGATAAGATTCCAATTAGATACACCATATGAATGAAAGATAACAACCACCACAACCAATTATTGAAGTGCTAGCATAAGTTACATAAAGTACTGCTTCACCATAAAAAACCTAAGAATCAAATCAGAGATCCTGCTTCAGTACTAGCTCATTTCATAACTAATTTCTATGCCGGTTACCAGAGATTCCATGCCTTGGAGACACTACATAAATATTAGGGTAGTACATTTTCAATTTGTATTCTTCAAATTTTAAGCTTGTCTCAACTGAAAAAACAAAAACATCTATAGAAACTAGAAACACTAAACCAAAATCAAAACACTAAGTCAAACAAAAACCAAGTAAATCAACATATACACACACCTAACGCAAATCTGAAGTTGTTGCCTTGCTGACTTGCCGATTAAAGAGTTCTGACGCAACCTTCGACGGAAGGAGGCGGAACCAGGAGCCGGGAGAGAAGCAAGGGGCGGAGGAGGAGGAGGCGGCAGAAGAGAAAACAGCTACGGTTGGGAAGAAGAGCAGCAAGGAGGCGCCGGTGTGAGAGGTAGTTGGGGGAGACTGGGAGAGCGAGCAAAAATTAGGTTAGAAGTTAGGATTTTCAAGTATATATATTTTATGGGTAAAATAGTAAATGGCAAATTACGTATTAATATTTAAACTATCAATTTTGGTATATTTTAATACATATATTTTTAATTTTTTAAAATCATACTTAAAGTTTAGTTTTTATTTCATTTTAGTATTAATTCAAAATTTAACATTAAGTTTTGAAAAAAAATGAAAGATTAGGTATTAAAACGGATCAAAAATGATAGTTTAGTTACTAAACGCATTAAGCTTTTAATGGCATGGTACTGAAATGAAATAAAAACTAAACGTTAGGTATGATTTTAAAAATTTAGGTATTAAAACGGATCAAAACTAATAGTATAGGTATTAAATGCATAGTTTACCCAATATTAAATAAATGAAAAATGTTTAAAACACGTATTATTTTCTTGTAGATTGTGGAAACTTTAAGGGTTAAATAACACACAAGTCCTTATAATAATTTTGTAATTAAAATATAGTACCTCTATTTTTTTAGGAATATAATCAAACAAATTTTCTCGAATTTTAAAAGTAAAGGTCAAGTTGATATATTGTTAAATTCAGATCCAAGTATTTGACAAACATCTACGGTTTTAGACTTTTATAATTCAACAGCTAAGTCCAAGTGGGAACATTTTGTACCTATCGATATTAAGTAATAACATGATAAATGAATGTCCCTTGTTCCCATATGTAATGGGGTAAGGGGAGGTAAGATAGTAGGCTGCCCCCAACATTAAGTTGAGAGCAGCTTCCGTAGGAGACCTCCAAATTATGAAATGCCCTTCATAAGACTCGATCCCACGACCTCAAGGATAAGAACCTTGTGCTCTACCAACTGAGCTGGATGGTCATTTCGATATTAAGTAATAACAATTAGACCTAAATTTTCAAACTAAAAAGATAGATAAAATTTTTAGAAATAAAAGTATAAAATTAAATGGTTTTCATTGTAATTAAGCACTCTTAATGTGTATTTGACTCGAACTCGAAAGATTTTATCTCTCTATATAGCCATTTTTTATATAAAAAAAAAATATATGTTTGAGTTTATTTTTTTGGGTCTATGATTTAGGATAGAAAATATCTTACCCGATCTCACTTGATAATAATAGTATAATTTATCTTTATATACTTCAGGATGATTGTTGTAATATCCTTTATTTCTCTATTTTTTCAAGTATATCTTTATTTTATCTAATAAAAATAAAAAGTATATATGTACATATGATTTATAGTTTAAGGATTATATTTTTATATATTTGTGTCAGATCACTGAATTAGACTTCAAGTCGGATGAATTTTTTTTAAACTTGAATAAAATTAAATGGTAAGTAAAATAGTATTATACTCAAAATTCGAATGACCACCAATAATCAATTGGTCCATTGAAATGATACATTAGATTCTTTAAGTAAAAGTCAAATATTTGAATCTTACCATTTACCAATGAAGAAAATTGATTTGGAAAGGTCACCCTCGGTCCGATTTAGAAAAAGAAGATGAATTTCAGAACAAAACATTACACGCTAATGACCGACAGATTGTAAATGGAGGAGTTGGGATAAGATTCCAATCAGATACACCATATGAATGAAAGACAACAACCATCACAACCAATTATTCAAGGGTTAGAAGGATTCTGAGAACCAATGTGCTTTTGTCACTGGAAGACAAATCTCGGACAATTTCCTTGTTGCTCATGAACTTCTTCACTATCTCAAAGGCTCCAATAAAGGACCAAACAAAGGGGCTGCCCTAAAGTTAGACATGGAAAAAGCATATGATAGAGTTGAATGGCATATCATTGCTAGGGAAAAATGGACTTCGATAGTTCTTTTGTTTATCTCATACTGAGATGCATCTCTTCGGTTTCCTTCTATGTTCGAATTAAAGGGAAAATTTCAGGTACCTTTAAACTAGAGAGAGGTTTAATACAAGGAGACCCATTGTTTCCCTATCTTTTCCTATTTTGTTCACAGGGACTGTCGGCCATCCTTCTAGCAGAGCAAGGTCGTAGACATATTAAGGGCGTTAGAGCAAGCATTCTTGGGCCTCGGGTTAATCATCTTTTTATGCAGATGACAGTTTGCTCTTTATCAAGAACTCGACCCAAGAAGCAAGGAGACTAAAGGAGGTGTTGGATTCTTATGAAGCGTCATCCGGACAAAAAATAAATTATGACAAGTCTAGTATTTTCTTTGGCGCGAAGACGCCACAAAGGGACCGAGAAGAGATTTCAAGGATCCGCTCATTGTGGGTAGAAGTAAGATGGAGACATTTGGTTTTTTAAGAGACAAGGTGGCGAAAAGAATTCAAGGATGGTCTCATAACCTCCTATCTTATGGAGGGCGGGAAGTCTTCCTTAAATTTGTTGTCCAAGCCCTACCAACCTATGTCATGTCATGTTATTTACTTCCGGATGTTGTGGTTGAGGCGATTACCTCCCTAAGGAGAGCTTATTGGTGGTCCGGGAAATATGAGACTAGGGGATGGGCACACGTTGCATGGAACAAAGTCTGCAGGGCAAAGCGTGATAGAGGAGTTGGGTTTAGAGACCTAAAGCTTTTCAACATGGTGTTGCTTGGGAAACAAGTGTGGAAGTTTTTACATAACCCTAGTTCTCTCCTATTTCAGGTCTTCAAAGCCATGTACTTTGCCAATACCACATTTTTTATGCCAAGCGTGGAAATAATAATTCATATGCATGGACTTGTATTTTCAAGACCAAAGAACCTCTAAAAGAGGGGTTCTACTGAAGAGTGGGCATTAATAGCCCTACGCCTTTACACAAGTACCCGTTGGGGAGGTTCTCATTCGGTGGCTTTGAATAGTACATACGTGGATAATGAGGAGCAGCCTATCATGTGCGGTGACTTCATGATTCAAGGAGCTGCACGGTGGATGAAAACAAGGTCTATAGGTTTTTTCATGAATATAATGCAAAGTTGATTTTGAGCACTATTATTACCCCTCAAGAAAGTAACCAACTCATTTGGGAGCACCACAACATCGGCTTCTACTCGTCTAAATATGGGTACAATTGGTTACTTATGAAAGCTGGAATTGAACGAGATCGATCTCCAATCTGGAAGATTATTTCGAAGCTCCCCACGCTGCCGAAGATTAAAATCTTTGGATGGCGGGTGTGTCACGATGCTCTGCCTACCGGCCATAAACTCGTGACTGCTGGTCTTGGAAATAGGATTTGCCCTATGTGCCAAAGTGAAGTTGAGACGGCTCTCCACGCTCTTAAAGATTGCTTGAACGTGAACGAAATTTTGGTTCTGTCGGGGCTCAATAGTGGATGCGTGGACATGCAAGCTAACACACGTAAATCATGGCTTGAGGAAATTGTGTCTTCCTTTGATCGGGATGACTTCATAAAGCTTCTCACCCTCCTTTGGAGCAATTGGTTTAGGCGCAATAAATGGGTGCATGATAAGGAGCTCCAAGAGGCTAGGGATGTGGTTAATACAGCTTGGATAATTCGAACTGAGATCAAGAATGTCCATGACAAAGATCCCAATCTCAACAAGCCTCTAATGGTATCTAACATCTGGTGGATCAAACCCACTGAAGGAATCTTCAAGATTAACATTGATATGGCCTTTCTTCCCATTACCGACGAAGCAACTATAGGAGTGATTGCAAGAGACCATCACGAAATGGTCTATTGTGGGATGACGAAAAAGTTACAGGGCACGCACACGGCAGAATCAGTTGAGGCCGTAGGTTTTGATAGAAGGAATCTGCATGGCTATTGAGAATGGTTGGGATTCCACGATAATCGAAGGGGACGCTATTACCATTGTAAATCGTCTGGCTAATCCAAATAGAGACATATCAGTAGCGGATTGATGCTTAACGAGGCACGCACCCTTCTCGCTGGTTTTCTAAATCTCAAAATCCAATATGTGCACCGAGAAGCCAATCGGGTAGCACATACCCTCGCCTAATGTGTGATATAATGTATTTATACTCGTTCTCTATGTTTATAGTGGATTGTTGTTCATTTCACCCTTAGATGTAATCAAAATTGAACCATAATAAATCTCATCTATCTTACATGTATTATTTTATGTTGATATCGCTTTATTTATTTTTTCCTATCCTAGATTCTTAACAGAGCTCAGACAATCAATTAAACATCATTCAATCAGTAGTCGTCGGATTGATGCTTAACGTGGCACGCACCCTTCTCTTTCTAATCAAAATCCAATATGTGCATCAAGAAGCCAATCGGGTAGTACATACCCTCGCCCAATGTGTGATATCATGTATTTATATTTTTCGTGTT